TGTTGTGAGGTTCTTCTGGGTAGACTTGAACCTTCAACCATTCGGTTAGCAGCTGAGCTTGTTAAGTATTTGCCCCACCAAGGGACTCCTCAATAATAACGGCTAGCATTCACTGTGTTGTGGTGCAATGAATTCCTTAATATGGCCCTTTGTAACTTCCACCAAACGATAGGGTGGGACCATGCTAATAAGGTATATAGAACCCTAATGATGGGACTGGTCAGTTTTGCCATCCCACTAGGCTTAAAACGAGCCATCCCCAAGGCAGGAGGAGAGGATCTCACCACCACCAAGAAAGGAGGGGCAGGAGTGGAGCACATCTTTGGACCCGCGATCCCTGTGCTGAGACGCTCCTGGAACTAGGAGACTGAGAGAGAGAGAGAGAGACCTGTGACACCCAAGACAGCAAAAAACAGAGGCAGCAGAGGCAGCAGAACCAGGAGACATCATGGTGGCCTTCTTAGCCCGCTGAGTGCTTTCAGGCCAAGGTTTACTGGCAGAGTGGGGTGCCTGGGGGCACTTATCAGTGGAACTAAAAGAGCTTTATAACACTTGCCTGAGCAGGGCAGAGGCCAAGGGAGAGAGAGAGGGGTGCCTGCAGGCATGGCTGAGAAGAGGCTGTCCTGATGGAAGAACTGTATCCTGAGTGTTCCTGAACCTAAGCTGTAACCTGTTACTTCCCTAATAAACCCCATAACTGTGAGTATGGTATGTGAATTCTGTGCGGCCATTGCAATAAATTATCAAAACCAGCAGAGAAGTAGAGAGTGCCATGGGAGGGACAGCTGGTGTCAGAATTGGTAAAGATGGCAGAGAGAGGAGGTCTGTCTGAACTCCACCTCACAGAAATCAGCCTTGGGCTGTGGACCTTGATTCTCCTTCCCCGAGTGAAGTTGGAGGAGGTCAGAACCTCTCCCCGCTGCCGTTTTTACGTACGTGCAGAACAGCATGCTGCATGCGTTACCTACATTATCTTATTTAATCTTCAAAAACTATCCTGTGAGTCAGGAAATATTATTAGTCCCCTTTTACAGATAAGGAAATGGAGTCAC